GATAGATTCTGGCATGGAATGTTTATTTTGTCCCTCCCTAGTTTCGAACTTTGAAAAAAGGTCGAAAAGTGAAGATTTTTGCTTAATAGCTACGTAAAATTGCATATTAATACACCACCTTTTACGTTTTTGTAATTTAATCACCACTTTTGTAATTTAACAATTTAATACACCACATTTACCATATTTGTAAATCAAATCATGATTGATGGCTCCGGTTACAGAAAGTTATTTCTGTCAATAACATGTCAAATTTTTGCTGATAAAAATCCGGCATGGACAATGTTGGTTTTGCCTTTCCCTGGTTTTGAACTTCGAAAATGGCCGAAAAGTAAAGATTTTTGCTTAATAACTGTGGCATTTGCACGACTGTCTCATGTTTAGACTAGCTGTCGATAAATTCCGACATGGACAATGTTGATTTTGTCCCTCCCTAATGTCTTCAAAACGATGCGTATTCTCGTTTTATTTGTCTATTTTCAAAATACAGGGCGTTAGTTCGGCTGTGCAAGTGGAGAATGTGATGTTCAAGAACATTCGGGGAATCTCAGAGACAAAAGTAGCCGTAAACTTACTGTGTAGTGGTATGCGGCCGTGCAAGAATATTAAGCTCATCAACATAAACTTTTCGTACATGAACCGCCAAGGACAAGCGACGGCCCAGTGTTTAAATGTCTTTGGTGCTTCCTATGGACAACAAATCCCAGATGGCTGTTTGTAGTGTGTGTGTGTGTGTGTGTCTAGATTTTTCTCTTCTTTGTCACTTTCTTTTATAAAACTTTGCAAGTTATTTTCTGTTTATCTCAAGTCACATTGAGAAAGTAATTCATAAATATCCTTTGAAATTATTCTATTTCATACAACAATGGGACAAATATTGATGAACATTTTGTGATGCAACACGTGGTAGACAAAAAGGAGAATTGTTCTTGAAGAACTCAAGAAACCAGAAGAATATAAATCTTTATTATCAATAACTACGTAAGAGTTTCTGATAGGAGTACAATATATAGGAGAAACCACAAGACTCCTAATTATTATTCTTATTATTTATCTTGTTAGGCAAGACAAATAATAATCCTAAATAACATGCAATAAAGATAAGCATAATATAAACTAGGAAATAAATAATAAATAGATAACTAAATATGAAGCCTCTCGTATTTTTCCATATAAGCGAATGCGGCTTCATCTGCATCATTTTGTTGAGATAATGAAAATATACATGCCATCTTGTACTTAAATGGCTAACAATTTCAATCCAGCCAATGAAGATACCAAGAGAACACAAACGCCCATAATACATTCGTGAGATGCTATGGTCTCGTTACGGAACCATTCCGTCGGAATTTATGGGGCAAAGTTAAAAAAAAATCTTTGAAAAGAAAATTACATTATTCTCTTTGAAAACAGATGTTGAAATCAATGCCTTGCAGCTGGTTTTTTTCCATACTTGTATTGATTAATAATTATAACTTAAGATACCTTTCGATTCGAGTACATAGGAAAACAGAGTTGAAATCAAAGTATGAGGCTGCTTTTTTCCATTAACGTGATGATTAATAATTATAACTTTGGATACCCTTTGACCACATATCTATATATATATATAAAGAGGGAGTTGATGGAATTTATTGCTAAATATAGATGATATGCAATGACTATAATTGGCAACATTTCTACATTTGGTTGGGTAATTGTAATTGTAAGGTTAATTATTTTTGTTAAGAATGCCAAATAATTAAGGGAAATACATTAACATAACAAAATTCGTATTCAATTATTTTTGGTAAATTTTAGGAATGGAAAATAATAAGTAAAAGTTAACTTACTCAATTAATTCTGTTTGGAAATATATTAATATTCTTTTACTATATATTTAAAAATGTATAACATCAACTACGGTCACCATATTTCAATCACTTGATAACTTAAATATATTTAATATCATGAACTCTACATATGTCATTACTATGTTTTTTAAGGCAGCAATATTAGTTTATGCTAACATAACCATACGTATTAGTTTATACTAACATTACGCATAGATCCAAAAAACAAATTAAAAAGAATATTTATTATGAATAATCTATTTAAATTAAGTTATTAGATGAATACATGATAATGGTGAATGCTGGTAAAATTTGAAAAATGATACACCAAGTTGAGCGTTATCAACAAAATAGATATTTTGTTGTTTCTCGCGGAAAAGAAACATGTAGCTGGCGATTTGGTCGGAAAAGATACATTAATCACCCCACTTGGATAAAAAAGCTAGCGTGGCCAGATTAGATAGTGACGTGGCATTATAACTTTATTTAGTTCATATGTGTTATATACGTGGCGTGATGTGACATCATTATCTCAAAATACACAACTACACATAGATAAATAAAAATAAAATAAAAAAAATCCAAAAAAAAATAAATATAAAGACACATTAGCAAAAAAAAATAACAATAATTATAATAAGAATAAAAATAAAAAAATAGAAAAATAGAAAAATTAAAAAAATCCAAAAATAAAAAAATTTTGTTCTATTTCCTTAACTATATATTAATAAAATATTTTTAAAATTATATTTCTTTAATACATACAAAAATTATTAAAAAATAAAAAATACTTTGTTAATATTTCGTTATTAAAAAATATTTTGTTAATATTTTGTTAAATATAAATATATTCGCGAATATATATTAAAAAATATTTTGTTAATAATAATAATTATATATAATTTATTATTAATTATATTATTTAATATAGTATTTTTACATAAAATTTTATTTACTTAATATATATAAGTATTAAATATAAATATGAATCACAAGATATAAATTTATATTAAAAAATATATTTTAATTATTTTAAAAATATATATCTAAAAAATATATTTCAATTTATTTAAATATAAATTTAAATTTGTGATTTATATTTATATTTAATATACTTATATATTAAATAAATAAAATATTATGTAAAGTATTATATTGTATAGTATAATAAATTATATATAATTATTATTATTAATGAACTTCATTTTTTTTAGTATTTTTTAATATATATTAGTGAAATATATTTATTTTAAACGAAATATTAACGAAATATCTTTTTTTATTTTTTAATATATATTAACAAAATATAATTTTTTTTAAATATTTTATTAATATATAGTTGACAAATTAGAACGAAATATATTTTTTTCTATTTTTTTATTAAATTTTATTTTTGGATTTATTTTCTATTTATATTATTATTATTTTATTTTTTCTGATGTGTATTGATTTATTTTTTGAGTATTTTTATTTTTATTTATGTTAGCGTAGTTGTGTACTTGGAGAGAAGGATGACACATAATGCCACGTATATCACACGTAGGAAATTAAGGAAATTTATAATGTCACGTCATTATCTAATCTGACCACGTCAGTTTTTTTATCCAAGTTGAGTGCTTAATGTATCTTTTCCGACCAAATTGTCAACTAAATATTTTATTTCCGTGAGGGACAACAAAATGACTGTTTTGTTGACAACGCCAACTTTGTGTATCATTTTTGAAATTTTTCCGCTGAATGCTTAACAAAATACTTGAATCATATTAATGTCAATAAAATTTAAGCATTATTATTGGTGAATACTTAACAAAATACACTCAAACTTACTAAGATACTCGAGTACAAAATAGGAGTAATTCACGCTATAAATCTCATATTCAAGATCTGTGTATTGTTCTCTCATATTCAAATCCGATGGTGGTGTTGATTTCTTGCATGACCTGCACACTCTGGAGTTCTTAAATAGTATAAAATGTTTTGGTGTTCCAAATCATTAATTGCACTTAAAGGTTGAGACTTCTGTCATGTTGTTGAGAAATATTGACCATTCGATTGGACTATGTAGTGGAACACGCTTGGTGATACTGAAGCTTTTCACTCACGTGTTTGAATGTAAGATTCTAACAGGATCAAATGTTGGACATAAGGTACTGGTACCAAGACTTTTCTTATCTCCATTTGATCTCAGGATACCCTTCAAGTTCAAGCGTAGACAATTTACTCTTATGTTTTCTTACGCAATGACAATCAACAAGAGTCAAGAGCAGTCGTTATCCCATGTCGGACTTTACATGAAAAGACCTGTGTTTATTAGTCATGGTCAATTATACGTTGATGTGTCTCGAGTCACTAATCCACAGGGATTGAAGATATTAATATGTGGTGGGACGATAATGGGGAAAAGAAAACTACTAAAAATGTTGTCTATCGATAAATTTTTTTAAATTTGTAATACCATATAATATTGTACTTTTACTATCTATTCAATAATAATGTTATTTACTTGTCATTTACTTTTTATGATATATATATATATATATTAATGTATTTATTAAAATATTTTAATAAATATGTTCCGTGCATCGCACGGGTGAAGATACTAGTATAGGATAACAGAGAAGTTGAAATCAAAGTCTTGAGGCAGCTTTTTTCATGCCGGGTAGAATTCAAATATAAAGAACCACAAGTCATAGATGTGTGATATTTAAGGAGATTATGATATCCCCTTTATATTAATCCAGAACGCGCTGAGCCTACGTGGCTGCTTCTGATGCTTCGGAATCTTATGTGGCAAAATTACATGCTTCGTTATTAGGCTTGGGAAAATTTTAATGTAATTCCAAACCAAAAATAATCAGGTTCGGATTACCATAAATATATTGATTATTTATGGTCATGTTACATGTATTAATTGCATTTTAATATCATTCCTTATTATAACTATTGAATTGTATATATATTTTAAAAGTTAATAACTTTTGTATTTTTCATCAGTTTTACATATGTAATATATCAAATTAATCTTCTTTTGATGAGCTTCGATTTAACATCCATATTGTATGTATAAAAAAATAATTTATATTTATCTATATAACAATAATAAATTATTTTTAATATTAATTAAAAAATAAAATTATTTATCAACTAATATATTTATATTTCAAGTAGTTATATGATATAAGTTATAAAAAGTAATATAATATAATACATGTAAGTCATAAATAACACATATCATTCTAAAATATATAGTAATATATTTTTATTTTTTTTTTTGTAAAAAAGTAAACTAAGTTTAATATAGTTTTCTCATTAATTTTAAATTTTAAGAATAATTTTTTAACAAGCACCCGTGTAATACACGGGTGTTGTACTAGTATGCACTAGGATCATGATTGCCTGAAGAGATTAATGTCAACACAAAATCTTCTCAAAAATCTATTTCGGTCCTGCTTTTGACAAAACGTAAATTTACATGATAAACGCGTAAACCACACCATTGTAAGAGAAGTGAAAGCCTATAACTTCAACTAAAAAGACATGAAAATTAAGGAGAAGTGGAAGCCTATAACTTCCAAGTAAAAGAAAGACTTAAAACTTAAGGAGACATGGAAGCTATTACTCATATTCCCGCGCTTTATCTTTGCTCGCTTGTTTTGGTACTCTTGCTCAGCCACGGATTTGCCGTCAAGAAGGTAAACATATCTGCAGCCTCACTGACACGAATTTATTTTGATCAACAATTTTTTTTTTACGCGTTTTACAAACCGATGTTATTTTCCTTGATGTTATTTTACCAATGCATATCTGCAGCCACTGCATCCAACTTATTTTTTACCAATTTATCCGCAGCCTAACTCACTGACAGCCTAATTTTCCTTGATGTTATTTCTTTTCTTTTTCTTGGTCCCGTAGTATAGTCATATGTGGTGTATTTGGGAGGTCATTCACATGGAGAAGAAGCCACACAAACTGATTATGATAGAGTCACTCAGTCTCATTATGACTTTCTTGGGTCATTCATGGGAAGGTAAGTAAGTGTAAGTGAAGTTCGTGCAGAGATGAAGAGAAGAATGGAGTTCTGTAGTTCAAATTTCTCTTTTTTTATGAAAAAAAAAATTGATCTATCACTATCTTCGTTCTTTTTTATATAGTTCGGATAAGGCCAAAGCTGCCATTTTTTACTCTTATACTCGACATATAAATGGATTTGCTGCAACTCTCGAAGAAAATGAAGCACTTCAATTATCCAGTAAGTGGTTTTATCTATAGCCACGTTCTTATTTATTTGTTTATTTATTTTACAAACGCGGTTCTAATAACTATGTTCAATGTATCACATGAACATTCTCAGATCATCCAAAAGTTATATCTGTATTCTTGAATAGAGCAAGAAAGTTGCAAACAACGAGGTCGTGGAGTTTTCTTGGTCTTGAAAATAACGAAGAAGAAATTCCCGCCAGCTCTTTGTGGAAGAAGGCCAGATTGGGTGAAGATGTCATCATCGCCAATCTTGACACGGGTTTGTTTTCTTATAACCTGTCCAAAGTATCATTCACACTTCGATATACATATGTTTATATCTATGTTATATGATAATAAGTATTGTGACTGAACCAGGCGTGTGGCCAGAATCGAAAAGCTTTAGCGACGAAGGAATAAGGGGTCCGATTCCATCAAAGTGGAAAGGAATCTGCCAAAATCAATTTGATCAGAGCTTTCAATGCAACAGGTTGTGTGTGTGTGTGTGTGTTGGAAAAATCAGTTATAAAACTTGGGTTTGACCCGGTTTTGACTGAATTTTTTATGGCTAAATATTTAATTTGAGTTGAATTAAATATTGTAGAAAAATTCTACGTTCCGAGTAGATACTCGTGGTATATTTATTTTCTCAAAACTGATTTTCGGTGAGTCAGAAATAAATTGTTAAAATTAGCCATAAAAGGGCACGTAAAACGTTGGTTGTGGGATTTGAAGGTTCAAGAGTCATTCCCACATTGGACTCCTAAATAAGTTTAACTCTCTTTATTAGAGTTTGAGAGGTTACAACAAGCACAAAGCTATGCACCAAGTGTTGGTGTTGTTTTCGGCCACACGCGCGCGCGCTGGCCGGCTCGGGCACGGGCCTTGGCAATTGGACTTTGGACTGGACTTGGGCGGTTGGGCTTGGGCCCAAATGATATATATATCTTTTTACTGCAACTTTATTTGCAATTTTAGGCCCAACTGATAAATCCAAATCAAGATGGACTTGGACTTGGGTTTTGACCTCTCATGTATAATGAATCTGGACATCTAACCTTTCATGTGAAATGTAACAGCTCAGGTGGAATGATAATGGTGTTGATTACCAGTTAATGGTGTTAACTCCTGGTAAATGGTGGATTAACACCTGAAGACGTTTTGCCCCATTATCTCTGCATTAAGTGGCAGAGGTGATTGTTTGCTTTCCCTTAAGAGGTGGAAGTCCTATAAATAGGACTTAGAGCTGCAGAGAAAAGAACACACAGAACATTGCATGTTTTCTGCATAATATCAAAGCCTCACGCATCATATCATAGTGCTCAGTTCTCGTCTTTATTCCCGTTCGCTGGAACTCTGAAAACTGGTGTGCTACAGCTTCCGAGTGTATTGCCGTTGTATCTTTGGGGACATTACGCACAGCCCGTCAGCACTATACAGGGCGTATTTGTCTTGCGGAAAGATTTCAATCGCCTCGGCTCTAATCTGTCTGCATTCGAGTTGTATTTTTTATTTTGTTTTAGTTCATATTGTACGAACTGAACACTTCAGTCAGTTCATAGGTTCCCGTTGTAATCAAAACATACTTTGTGTAAAAATCGCAAGACAAATACTTCGACACCTACTGAACTGATGGCATCCACTGGAGAAGGATCAAAAACTCAACCACCTGTCAACTCCGCTGTTCATCATCCCCAACCTGCTATTCATGTTCCCACTGCTGAGAAGCCCGAAAAATTCAACGGGCTTGATTTCAAGAGGTGGCAACAAAAGATGCACTTCTACCAGACCACTTTGGGTTTGGTGAAGTACCTGAAAGACGACCCTCCTGTCGTGGCTGAAAATGAATCGAATGCTGAGCTAAGAGCTGCATACGATGCTTGGGGGCAAGGTGATTACCTTTGCCAGAACTATGTCCTCAACGGACTGAGTAACGAGTTGTACAATGTGTATAGCTCGGTTGGCTCTGCCAAGGAGCTTTGGGCTGCCTTGGAGAAGAAGTACAAAACTGAGGATGCCGGGGCGAAGAAATTCGTTGTCGGAAATTTCTGGAATTCAAGATGATCGACACTAAGACCGTCGTGTCTCAAGTGCAAGAGTTCCAACTCATCTTGCACGATATTCATGCTGAAGGAATGTCTCTGAGCGAGTCATTCTAAGTTGCGGCTGTGATCGAGAAACTGTCGCCGGGTTGGAAAGACTTCAAGAACTACCTCAAGCATAAGAGGAAGGAGATGAGTCTTGAAGACCTTGTTGTTCGTCTTCGGATTGAAGAGGACATCGGAAGTCTTCGGGGAAGGCCCCAATGATGGAAGCTCGTGCAAACTTGCTGGAGCAAGGGAACTCGAGCAAAAGGAAGCCCTTGAACAAAGGAAAGCAGCAACTAGCCAAAGTTTGGAAATTTACCGGCAATTGCCATAACTGCGGAAAGTCGAACCATATGGCTAAGGACTGCAAGAAGCCTAAAAAGGCTGGACTGAAGAAGGCACAACATAGTGCCCTCGTTGCTGAACACAACCCTGTGCCGAGTGAACTAACCGATATGGATATGTTGGCTGTGGTGTTTGAAGCCAATTTTGTGGATAACCCAAGGGCGTGGTACATTGATACTGGTGCCACTCGCCATGTATGTTCCGACAAGGAGTTGTTTTCTGACTACACTCCTTCTACTGGTCGGAAGCTCCACATGGGCAACTCTTCCTCGTCTGATGTGGCTGTAGTTGGCACCGTGGTGCTGAAGCTAACTTCTGGAAAGAAGTTGAAGCTTAAGAATGTTCAGCATGTCTCAGAAATCCGCAAGAATTTGGTCTCCAGATCTCTTCTTGTAGAGCATGGATTTTTAAGTTAGTGTTTGAAGCTAAGAAGTTTATTCTTAGCAAGTTTAGTACCTTCCTTGGTCGTGGCTATCTCGACAAGGGATTATTTGAAATGAATGTAATGGTTGTGAGCCGTGTAACTGTTTCTGCTAATAATCAAAATCCTACTTCTGTTTATATTGTGGAGTGCTATGATTTATGGCATATTAGATTAGGACATGTGAATCTACATGCAATTAAACGGTTAATGAACTTAGAATTAATTCCTAATTCTAAAATTGAATCACACAAAAAATGTGAAATTTGTGTGAAAGCCAAAATGGCTAAATTACCTTTTCACTCGGTGGAAAGAAATACTGAACCGTTGGGTTTAATCCATATTGATGTATGTGACTTGAAGATTGTTCAAACAAGAACGGGTGGAAAATATTTTATAACTTTTATTGATGATTGCACAAGGTTTTGCTACTTATATCTTTTAAGAAGCAAAGACGAGGTTGTTGAAGCTTTTAAAAATTTTAAACCGAAGTTGAAAATCAACTCCGCAAAAAGATTAAAATAATCCAAAGTGATAGGGGTGGGGAGTATGTAGCTCCTTTTGAACAAATATGTTCTGAATATGGCATAATTCATCAAACGACGGCCCCCTATTCTCCACAGTCGAACGGTGTTGTTGAACGCAAGAACCGAACTTTAAAAGAATGATGAATGCCATGTTGATAAATTCAGGATTACCCCAGAATATGTGGGGGGAAGCTGTTTTAACAGCAAATCATATTCTGAATAAAATACCACTTAAAGGAAAAAATGAGACTCCTTACGAAATGTGGAAAAAATCATAAGCCGTCTTATAAATACCTGAAAGTGTGGGGGTGTTTGGCTAAGGTTTCAGTTCCTGAACCAAAACAAATGAGAATCGGACCTAAGACGGTGATTGTATTTTTATTGGATATGCGTACAATAGTAGTGTTGGGTTCGCCTGTACCGTACAGGTTATACGCAGCGGAAAAATTATGTTTCAAAAACAAGTATTTATCCCATAAATACTCAACCCATACGTACATATAGCGAATGCACA